CAGGTGTTTCATCAGATTCGAGGTGTTACCTCCTTTGACAGTATCACAGTATCAGCTTAAAGCACTTGTTGCTGCTGAGTTTGCATCTTTTGCTGTGAAGTACAGCCAGACTTTTGACCGCTTTGCCTTGGACATTTTTAATCTGTAGCTCTGCTCTAACAGAACGTACGTACCTGGCCCCGCCTACTATCCTGGGAAACGTAAAATGATTGGCTAGAATCTAAAGTGTATCACAGCTCAGGAAAAAAAAGCACCGAAATAAAGCACCGAAATGTGCGCTGCTTTTCGGTCTGGTTACTACCGTTTATGTCAGAACCGGTGCCATCATGGCACCGGACACCGGTACCCATCCCTAACCAAGACATTAACGGTAATAATTCTGCAGTGAAAAATAGCATTTATAATGGAAGTCAATGGGCCAAAAATGGTCCCCAGGGCTCGGAGAGGATGTGTATTGTTAGCTTAGCCACTGAAGCTAATTTAAGGAAGTCAGACTTGAATTTTGAAATGAAATTATGCCAAGTTTTTTTTTAGAGGATTTGGCTATATTCCATGCAACACAGTGCAAATGGCTTGTACCTGAAAACCTAAAGGGACCATTTATGGTCCCAGGGCCACACAGGGGTTGTAATGATGCTAATTCAGTTTACAAAAGGGTTCATTCGCTCGGTCAGCAGGTGGCAGTATCCTCTTACACTGGGGAGTAAACTGCCATTAAACGAACAGAAGAAGAAGAAAACCCCTGCACATGCGCGGTACGGATCGGGGAGTCCTGATCCGTAACTATCTTTTTATTTTTCGTTTTTGTCTACATTATATTGAAATGTTTCATTATTGGAAACATTTTAAGATATACTTGTTATTCTTAACAGATACTCTGACCCGTAACTATCGTAAAACGCAATTAAAAGTCATAATTCCACACTGAGATTTAATCTGATTCATCAGGCTTAAGTACAGAGAAACATGTCTGTGAAGAGGATGCACCAAATCTACCCTCACACAAAGTGGAGCATGTGCCATCTGGGCAACTTTCTTTCTCCTTTTCCATGTCGCAGCCTTGGCCTCTCCAAAGAATTTCAGGATCACCATTTCCATCAATATAGCCTCTTGTGGAAATACCTCTTTCACAGTTTCACAAACTGAATACTTTCAAACTGTGTTGCTCCACTTCACAGACAAGAACAGAACAGAATCCATTTGTTGGATTTGTTCCTGATGGGTGATGGGCACTGCCAGGGCTGCCCTTTGTCACTGATTTTGTTTGCAATTTTTATGGACAGAATTTATAGGCGTAGCCAAGTGGCGGAAGGCTTTCACTTGGGTGGTCTCAGAATCTCATCTCTGCTTTTCGCAGATGATGTGGTTCTGTTGGCTTCATCGGGTGATGGCCTCAAGCTCGCATTGGAACGGTTCACAGCCGAGTGTGAAGCGGTGGGAATGAGGATCAGCACCTCCAAATCTGAGGCCATGGTCCTGAGCCGGAAAAAGGGTGGAGTTCCCACTCCGGGTCAGGGACGAGTTTTTGCCCCAATTGGAAGAGTTTAAGTATCTCGGGGTCTTGTTCACGAGTGACGGGAGGAGGGAGCTGGAGATCGACAGATGGATTGGTGCTGCGGACGCAGTGATGTGGACCCTATACCTGTTGTGGTGAAGAGAGAGCTGAGTGTAAAAGTGAAACTCTCAATTTACATGTCAATATACGTTCCTACCCTCACCTATCGTCACGAGCTGTGGGTAGTGACAAAAAGAACGAGATTTTGGCTGCATCCAGACTCTTCTCACGGTCAGAGGATGGGCAGCATGGTAGGTAGCACTGTCTTTCTGTGTGGAATTTTCATGTTAGGTAAACTGGTTATTCTAAAGGTGTGAGTGTGAATGGTTGTCTGTGATGTCCTGTGACAGCTGGAGTAGACTCCAGCACCCAGCCCGTGACCCTAACTTGGACAAGTGTAAGCAAATGGATCATCTGAGGATGTTGCAGGAATATAAGCTTACACAAGGTTTTATCCCACCACCCTGCATCAAAAAATAACAATCCTGCTGTTTTCCAGAATATAATGAATCAAAGCCAATTCAATGATGTTCAGAAGCACCAATAAAATATTCAACTGTGTACAGTTCTGGCCAAAGAAATGTGATTTTCTTTCTCTTTTTTCAATACAAGTCAGTTTTTTATGGCAAAAAGATGGCATTTCAACAATCTGGAGACAAAACCTCATTAGACACATTTCTCTCATTAACTAAACCGGTAAAGCTGGGAAGCGGTGTTTCGTCTGAATGTGGTACAGGTGTCATTGCTGATGAAGGTTGGGGTAACTGACAGAAGATTTAGATTTGCAACTGCTTACAGAAATAATGCCAAAAACATATCCCTTCATATCATATTATATATTTTATTTTATTTTATTGCATTCCAGTGTTTTCTAATTTCTGCTACAAAGCTTTGCACTTTTGCTGTAATGAAGCAAATTTCCCACCTGCGGGACTAATAAAGGTCATTTTATCTTATCACTGGAATAAGAAAATCCAGAAAAATCTCTTTGTCCACACTCGCAGGTTTTCCACACATACAAACTGAATGAGGAGCCCACAGCTCATTTTGGTTGCCCAGTTTCATAGCAGAACAAGTACACTAAGCTCTTTTTGTATTTTTTGGGAGTAGAGCTTTACAATACAACCTATGCTAAGATGGTTTAGTGGGGTTATTCACCCACATCAGGTTAACTGATCATTCTTAAACCAAGTGAAACATTTTAAACATTGCAGCAAAATGAGCAGGCTTCATGTGACCTACTGTTTATGAAAAACTCAGACACTGCCTGATCCAAATGTCTGCAGGGGAATGAAAGACTGGGGTATTCATGCATAAGTGAAATGGCTTAATTAGAAATAAAAGTGCATATTTCACTGGTGCCTTCAAGCACAGTCCTGTCTGGGCTTGAGCTGAAGTTAGTTACTGTATTTTTACTGTATTCTCCCTCTGGTGCCATTGAGAGCATCCTCACTGGATGCATCACCACCTGGTATGGCAACAGCACCGCCTACAACTGCAAAGCTCTCCAACGAGTAGTGCGGTGCTCTGAACGGATAATGGGAGGTGAGCTTCCCTCCCTCCAAGACATCTACAGGAAGCGCTGCCTGAGGAAAGCGGGGAGGATCATCAAGGACTCCAGTCACCCCAGCCATAAACTGTTCAGACTGCTTCCATCAGGAAGGAGGTTCTGCAGCATCCGGTCCCGAACCAGCAGACTGAGAGACAGCTTCTTCCATCAGGCCATCAGACTGCTGAACACGTCATAGACACCTCAGCTTCACTACTGGAACTTACACACTATGCACTCCACACTGTATATAAATGCCACTTGTTTTGCACATATTCAACTCTGTATATTTTTATATATTTTATTTATTATTTTTTTACTATTTAATTTGTAAAATGTGTATACACACACACACACACACACGCGCGTAGGATAATATTTAGTATACACATCCAGAAATGCTATTATATATTGTACATATATTTATTAGTTTCAGATGTAGCCATTCTTGTATTTGCTGGTTTGTGTTGTTGTGTTTGCACATCTCTGTTGCTTGTGGGGCTCGCACACAAGAATTTCACTCGCATGTGCTGTGCCAGTGTGCCTGCACATGCGATGTGACAATAAAAGTGATTTGATTTGATTTGATTTGATTTGGTGGCAAAGGTCAACCTCAGTTACAGACACAGATCTGTGTACAGAAAGAAGTTCAGAGTATCTTCAGAGTAACAACTTTAAAGTCATGTTAGTACCAGGGCTCAGTCTGTTTAACTGAAACAGACTGAAACTGAAATCACAGGAAATAAAACCACACAGAGAGGAGAACTCTGAGCAGAAGGTATTATTTAAATAAATAAAAATGTGTTATAACTCATTACTGCAGGCCTGTGTCTGTCTTTATAAGCTCATGTATTATAAATTTACATTTACGTGTATGCTGTTGGTAATCACTGTGCAATAACAGCCATGCACCAACTGTGACAACCCTCCAGTTAGGCAGTGGTACTCTTCACTCTGTAATAAGAGCTTCCTGGGATTGTCTTTAATCACAGATGGATGTCAGAATGGTGACTTAGAGCCAAGCACACTACACAAACATGATAAGCTGTAATTGTGTTTTTCCCTTAGTACTCTTTTTTTTTTGATGAATCCAGGGTTTAGATCAAAGTCTAAATCAGATTAAACATTCAGACAAAAAAAAGACTTCTCACAGCATTATGCATTATATTCAGCTGTTGTTTTCAGTACACAGTAAAAATGAAATGTTACATTTAAAAAATACAAAATAAATGTAGGACACATGTTACTGCAAAACTTTTCATCTGATTTTTAATGGCTCGTGACATTGCAGAGAATAATGAACAAGCTGGACTTTTGTAGTTCAACAAATAAAGGTCAAGGGTTAAAAGTTACAGTAAGTTAACATTTGTTTGCACTGGTGGGAGGGTCCTGCTCAGGTTTGAACTCAGGATCAGTGCTGCTAACCTAAATATTATCAAAACGTGTTGCTTCTCTGAATTAAAACACAATTTGCTATCACTGAATTTTCTATTATAACATCACCTCCTGCTGGTTGATGAGCGTGACGACGAGTGGGTTTGACATTCATTGGAATCTTTCCAGTTGTGGGAATCTTTCAAATCCTGGATGACAACAGTGTTGACTCAGAGTTCAGCTGGAAAATTAAAGATAAACATTTTTTTTAAAATTCCAAGACATTTCAGCTCCAGGCAGGTTTTCTACGGATCAAAACTCACCAACAAGAACAAACAGACCAGCTATAAGTCCAACACATGCAATCATGCTTCCTCCATTGCTGACGCCTCCTTGTAGACCTGGAGGTAAGAAACAGGTGTCAGCTGTCAGGTATGTGATCACAGACCTGAGGCCTGTACTATGACGTTCACACGCCATCTTGCAGCTGTCTGCTGATAACTCTGCATTCCTTCGCACAGAAAATATCCTACAGCAGAGCCTATAATGAATATAAAGTTTGACATTGAAAAGACATCCACAACAGCCCCTTCAGTGGACCAAAACTGGACATCCAAAAAATACCATATAAAACAACATCACTCTGTTTCTGAGTGGGTTTACTGACGCTGCATGATTTTCAATATTTTCTTTACAAGGAAAGATAAAAATCCCAGTTTGTGATCAACCAACCCGTACACCCCCTCTGAACACGCTCTCAGCTGAACTGATAAAACCTGGGTAGATGTTTCAACAGACAGTATACTGGGTAAGTTCAACTTTCTTCATAGTACAGTAGACCCAGCTGTTTTCTACAAAGTCTGATCAACAACCAGGAAGCAGCTTCACCTCTGATCACACACACATACTGAACACTACTCACTCACCTGAAGGATCAACAACAGTCAGCTGGATGCTGCTGATGGGGGGAGTTGGAATATTAAGACTCTGCCGTTGACGGCATTTAACGACACGACAATGGTACGTTCCAGTGTCATTAGCCGTCACATGCTTCAGAATCAAAGACACGTCTCCATCTTTGATCTCCCCATCCTGCAGATCTACCCGGTTCACAAAGGATGGATGCTGGTTGTCTGGATCAATTCGCTTCTCTCTGTAAAAAAGGACATAATGTGTCCCGAGGTCAGCCCTGCTCCACTCTGCTACGCAGATGGACGAGGTGTTGTTTGGAGCTCGACATGGCAGAGTGACGTTCTGTCCGGGCTCAACCGTGATGTTTCTCTGGACTGAAAGAGGAAACAACACAGAGCAGAGAGGTTAAAGGGATCAAAGTACAACTGTTCACTTCTCCAGCAGCCAATCAGAGGAAGAATCTAAGAGAAAAAGTTTTTCCTCCACACGTGCATGAACTCAAAGCACGACTTTATTAACAGGAAGGAAAAGGGCGATACAAAACTACACTGGGATGAACTAAAACTAACTCACAAGGAGGCACAGGGAAATCACTGGGAAACGCACACAACACTGAGGGACGACGCGACATGGAACAGAGGGAGACTTTGACATAAATACACAGAAGACAATGAGGGAAGTGGAATCAAACAGGGAACACAGCTGAGGAATTTACACATGACAGGATGGAGAGGACACGAAACTGAAAACACTGACACCAAGATGCGGACCTTAAACATAACACAGGAAATTTAGAGAGAATACAAGAAACTCAAACTAAGACACTAAACTAGGGCAACTAAGTGAACTTAGAACAAATCATAATAGAAAATCACAAGGACATAAGAAAACTCAAAGTGTAAGATCCTGACACTGTTAATAAATATACTCTCTCGGGAGCGAGTTGTGTGTTTGATGTGCAGTGTGGATATATTTATATTTCACATTTGAAAACAAAGCCACTCTGTAAAAATATCCCTGCATTCAAAATGTTGCTGAAATTTGGAAACATGCATGTGCTAAATCTTGAATAAAAGATGTCACTGAAGGAAACATTTTATAATTATATAACATTATGTAACATTTAAAGGGTCTCATTGATATTTAGGGCCATATTTACAAAGAAACAAAAAAACTGGTAGGCTGTTAAAAAGGTTGGGGTGAGAGAAGGAAGACAGGATAAAGACATGCTGTGGAAGAGAGACAGAGGTTAATAACAGATATGATTCAATGCAGAGAGGTCTATTAACACATAGTGAGTGAGAAAGGTGACTGGTGACTGGACCAGGTGAATTAAGAAGCAGAAAGTTAGCGGCCATCCAAGTCTTTATGTCTTTAAGACATTCCTGCAGTTTAACTAATTGGTGTGTGTTATCTGGCTTCATGGACAGATAGAGCTGGGTGTCATCAGCATAGCAGTGAAAATGTATACTATGTCTTCTAATGATACTGCCTAAGGGAAGCATGTATAATGTAAACAGAATTGGTCCTAGCACTGAACCCTGTGGAACTCCATAATTGACCTTAGTGTGTGAAAAGGACTCTCCATTTACATGTACAAATTGGAGTCTATTAGATAGATATGATACAAACCACTGCAGCACAGTACCTGTAATACCTACAGCATGTTCTAATCGCTCTAATAGGATATTATGGTCGACAGTATCAAACGCTGCACTAAGGTCTAGCAGGACAAGCACAGAGATGAGTCCACTGTCAGAGGCCATTAGAAGATCATTTGTAACCTTCACTAAAGCTGTTTCTGTGCTGTGATGAGCTCTGAAACCTGACTGAAACTCTTCAAATAAGCCATTGCTCTTGACGAAGGCGGTCCCACTTTTCTCCTCTCCTCCTCTCCCTTAGCTTCCCTGCTTAGCCTTTTATGTCCTTGTCTAGTCTCGTGTTTTTTGTATTACTTTTCCCTGGAACATTCTCTCACAGTCTGTTCTCTAAAACCTAAAAGAGGAATTATGGATTTGATCAACTGGTCCCTAAATGCAATTGACACCCCTTTCTCAACGAGAAGTTTGGGCTTGGGTGGGCCTAAGTGCTGAAGATATCTACCTATTCGGAACCATGGTAAGCACAAGAATGACAACATCACAGAACGCAAGTATGGCGAAGCTCACAGCTCTCCGACGGGAGATTGAGAGACCAGTGTTGGACTGTAGAACTGCTTTAAAATTCATATGAGTTGTTCGCACTAAAGTAAAAACCACCATCACTTCATGCGGATACCCTTTCGGTGCCAGCTGCAGTTGCAAGGCTGGAGCCGAACAAAAAACACTGATAACCCTGTGTTTAGACAGTTTCTTCCCATTCCATGCAAGGCCACCTGGGTTGGCTGGCAGACTGTTTACTTAGCCTAGCAGGGCGAAGGACACTGTCTCAGCTGAACTCTGGACACGCACACACATACATATACACTGATATGCACACACTCATCCCCCCTCCCTTTCCAAGCACCTTCGATGCTTGTTCCTTCCTGGGAACACGGCGGGTCTGAGCCCGCGGTGGAATGGTAGCGCTGGGCAGGATGGCTGCTGTGTTTGGGTCGGATTACTCTTCACCCCCCACCTGACCCTGTGGCTTGTCACGTGTTCCATACTGTTGTGCTCTGGACATTTATGTGCTTTTTTGTGCAGAGGAGTTTTTTTGTTTCCTGTTCTCATGCTGTCCTCCCAGGAGCCCAACAAGAGTAGAGGTCTCTTTTTTTCCTCTTGTACTTTCCCATTGTAGTGTATATTTCAGCGTTTGTTTTCTGTAACGCTACCGATCTCCGACCTGTATCCCCATGTGATGTCCGTGTTGTGTGTGTAAGGTCCGGGGGGGGGTGTCCTATTTCACTGCAGGAAGGTTGGAGATTGGCCTATAATTAGCTAAGACTGCTGGGTCTAGAGATGGCTTTTTAAGTAAAGGTTTAACTACAGCCACCTTGAAGGCCTGTGGTACATAGTCGATTATTAGAGATAGGTTGATCATATTTAAGATCGAAGAATTAATTAATGGCAGGACTTCTTTGAGCAGTTTTGTAGGAATGGGGTCTAAAAGACACGTTGATGGCTTGGAGGAAGTAATTATTGAAGTTAACTCAGAAAGATCAATTGGAGAAAAAGAGTCTAACTTAACATCAATGGTACTAAGAGTAGCTGTAGATAATATTACATCTGTGGGATGATTACTGATAATTTTTTCTCTAATGATAAAAATTTTATTTGTGAAGAAGTTCATGAAGTCATTACTAGTTAACGTTAAAGGGATTGTTGGCTCAAAAGAGCTCTGACTTTTTATCAGCCTGGCTACAGTGCTGAAGAGAAACCTGGGGTTGTTCTTATTTTCTTCAATCAGTGATGAATAGTAAGATGTTCTGGCTTTGTGGAGGGCTTTCTTATAAAGCAGCAAACTATTTCTCCAGACAGGAGAGGGTTTTCAGGAAACACTGTTAGATGTTCAGTTTCTATGCCATATGTTAGAACAAGATCTAGAGTGTGATTAAAGGGGTGGGTGGGTTCTTTTACATTTCGAGAGAAACCAATTGAGTCGAATAACAGATTAAATGCCATGTTGAGGCTGTCATCTTTAGCATCTACATGGATGTTAAAATCACCCACAATAATTATTTTATCTGAGCTCAGAACTAAATCAGATAAAAAGTCCAAGAAATCAGGCAGAAACTCTGTGTAAGGCCCAGGTGGACGATAGATGATAACAAAAAAAAAAAGTTGCGCTGTTGGGGAGATTTGCGGAATTTTCTAAGTTGTGGCAGGATGCTAGATCATGGCTTTCAATGTCATTTTGAGCACTAAAGGCTCTTCCTAGGGCAGCTGCTACTTTCACTTCACTGTCTGCCTTTAACTGATAGTGTTTCGTTTTCTCCTCCTCCAACCTTGCTTTTGTTTCCAATTCCTTTAATTTCCACTCAATTTCCATTTGTCTGATCTTGGTTTCTTGTGCCAGTATTTCTTCTGTGGCTTTTGGCTGCAAGTTCAGCTTCTGCTTCCACCTCATGACTGCCAGTAGAATCTGCCTTTGAGTATGCAACCGAACCATCTGGGAATGATGTTTCAGTTTCGGTATTACCAAACACAGAACCATATTCCCCTTTGTTTAACATCACTTGTACTCTTTCCCTTTCAATATTTTCCTGTCGTTTAGCAATAACTTCACAAATGTTAGTTGTAAGCACTGCACAAGCATCTGTTCGTTTAACAATGTCTGGGATCATGGATTGGCTGCGAGAATGGGTTCATAATGCCGTACAGCGTGCTTATGTCTTATGTCATGACTGCCATTATTTAGCTCTTCAGGTGAGCCAAAATTTTAAACTTTGTTCTGATTTCTTTAGCTGCCATCTTCCAAGTGTCATAAGCTTTGTTAAATGCCTTCTCATTTTTCTTTGCCTCATATTCCTGCATGCTTTTACCCTTTTCAGTTAAATGCATTTCACGATTGCTGGATCTCACTCCTTGTTGCTCTGAGTCGTCGGCTTCTTCAGCAGGGTTCAACATTTCGTTACTGTAATGAGTATGTTGCTCTATGCAATAACATCTGGACTTAAATTTAAGTGAGTGTTACTTTAACTTTTGGAAACAATGCTCACATCAGATGTTTACACCATGCAAATAAACAGATTAGCACTCACATATTTGACAAAATGTAACTGTAAATACTGCTGATACCACAACGTTATTTTAAAGAAGAATAACCCATATAATTTAAGGATTCTAATGACTTAGTGCAATGCACTATACCTTTAAGGCTGTAAACCACAAAACATCTAAGGCAGGTAACTGAATTAATGTGCAGATATTTTGACCTTGATATCAGCAAAGTCCTTGCTGAGCAAAATACCTGCACCTTAGTAAAGTGACCATCAGAGTTCAAAGTAGAGGTACGACGAAATGATGATCTTGACTGGTGTAGAAATCTTTCACAGCTGACACACGGACCCAGCTCGACAGGCACGGGCTGCACTTACTTGACATGGGGGCTAGCAACTAGCCTTCACACTAAGCTACCAAGTTGTCACTGTAACAGTCCCCCGGACCAGGGACAAAATAGAGAGAGCTTCGACAGGTGCAGAGTTTTTACTTCAAGATGCATTCAGAATCTAACAGTGCTGAGGTGCGCCAATACACTTTAAAACTAGACAGAAACACAGAAATACATCTTCTTAGGTGGTTCTTATTGATATAAACTCAAATATAAATCAAATAAAGTAGCAATACAACAAAATATCAACTAAGCAGTCAAGTACAGTTTAAAACATGTACATTAATTTTGTCTTGTATCACGCTGCTTCACGCTTCATTGAGAGCTGCATTGTGGCACATGTGAGCCACAAAATTGGGTCTGAGCTGGAAGTGCAGCTTGTGGCTAACTACGTGACAGGTCCCTCTGCTGGACACAGCTATGTAGGCTTATATCAAGAAACAAAAACTGACCTTTACAAAAATTATGTTGCCGTTTAAATTTTCCTAAATATTACAAAAATACTTTGTTATAAATAAATAATACATAAGCTATAAATTATTAATTCAAAACATCATTTACAACTTTTTAAAATGTTTATTTATATATTTTTTGTGTAGATGCCTCACTCTGCAAACCTGATCTTCCTCTCGCATTATAGTTTTTTTTAGCACAAGTTTTAAAGTATCCATGAACACAGACTGACAGGCATTTTCAAAAGACCGGAAAATATAAAACAGCAGTGTTATCGCATATTCACTCCTGCAGCTTAAAGCCTAACAGTGTGTTCACACCGAACGCGATGGGCGCGTGAAAAAATCCCAAAACGCCCCTAACTTGACGCCTGCACATTCGCAACCTCTACGCGTGTCCAAGAAAAATCCCCCGCGCCCCAAAATATCATATTTTAACGCGCGTGAACTGGAAATGTGTCAGCTGCCGTTCTGGTCTCGACCGAATGGTTGTGTAATGGGCTAATTGGCTCGGGACGGTTTTAGTGGTCCCCGCTGTCAAATGCTTCAAAATCTGAACAGTAGTTCTGTCTTTTCATTTAGTGGTAGCAGCTCTGCAATTCCTCGGGTCCTTTGTGCTCAGTTGTGTGTCTTGGTGCTGGGCAGTGGGTTGGTGGTTGGTTTCGTGTCCACATTTCGTTAAGGGCCCATCTATTGTTGTCCTGTTTTTGACACAGGAATGAGTGAGACTCTTCAGGGTCTTGCGTGTTCGTCGACCTGTGGGTGGTTGTTTTTTTCATTTTCTGTTGCATTTGTTGTGCGAATGATTGCCTTTTTTCGTTTTTTCTGCGCAGCCGGTCAAGCGCCAGGTAGGGCGCTTGCAGGGTGAGCAAGTTCTTTGCCCTGATTGACCAATCGGTCCCTCCGTTGCTCTGTTCTCCTTTGTTCCAGTTTTGCTACCGCCTATGATTTGTCTATTTCGAGGGCGCTATCGAATGGGTGTTACGTACGCAACTGTTTGCGTGTTATGATTTAATGCCAGCTCTGGGGTCTTCTTTTGTAGGATCGTCACAATTACGAGGATTAAATTACGAGCACAAAAAGCATTCATTTTCGGCGTATGGAAAAAATACACTATTTTAAAGACCCTTTTTAAAACTATGTCTATATTATTTGGGTACTTTTCAAGGTATGGCTCATAAGGCGCAACCACTAAATGATGAAGGCCTTCAATCATAGATTCATGCGGGGGTTAAAACTGTGTGTTTCTTCTAAATAGTGTGAGGGTCTAACACATCGTATAGATACAAGTCAACTGTCGAGAGGTGTTAAGTTGTAAAAAGGCTGCTGATCACGAGGCATTCTATGGATATAGACAACAAGTGGCAGGCAGAATTGTTGAGCCCACATAAGAACCCACAGACCAGTACGTTTTCTGCATATTGATGTAAGAACACATGGCGAACGCATATATCTGTTTTTTGTAGAACGTGGTTTGCTGACTCGTAACTAATCTCACAGAGTTGTTGGCATTTTTTTGGTTTACTGACTTGCACTGGTTGAGATTTTTAACAATGGTGTTTTGAGAATAGTGACAACAGTCACATGTCATAAAAGAAATAAGTCCAGATATAGTATATATGCAGTGAGTCGATGTGCAGATTAAAACACCATAAAGGAGAATATGGTTCATATAAAGTTGCGATTCAGGGCCAGGTGCAAACCATGTGCTTATTTAAGACTGTAGACTGGTAGCTTAATTAAGCGTAGGATAACATTGAGAAGACCGGCGTTACTGATTCATAAAGTCCTAGGGCATTGCCTTACTGGTATGTGCGCTTGTGGGTTGTTTTATGTCGGTTATATATATATTTTTATTTATCATAATGTTGAGTAATTAGTAAAGTTTCTATAGTGTAGAGACACACAAAGCCCTATGAATATTCAAGCTTTCTTATGGGGTGTGTTGTGCTGACACTTAGATTTTTGACACACAGGCCCAACAGGCAGGATGGAATCGGTACACTGAAGCTTCGGAGGCGGTCAGATAGAGGCGTATTCCAGTGTTCCGCATGGATTTCCTGTCGAGTCTGCTGGAGCTTGCATCTTCGTTCTTGCTTTTTGGTGTTGGATCTTATCGCTGGTTTTCTCCTGAAGCCATGACTAGTACCACAAAGCCCCAAGTGCATCGGTTGGAATAGAGTGCGGCCAATTATTATGTTTGAAACAAGTTCTAGGATGTTACCTTTCTGTGTTCCGCTCGTTTGCTCACGAGTTAAAAATGATGAAGTGGATGTTCAGGTGATCTTGGTTATTCGGTGTGGTGTAATAGCCAGCCGTTATGGGTGTCTTACCTTGTTTAGTGTTGTCCGTCTTGTTTTTAGTTGGCGGCGCGCCTTTCGTTCCCTGCCTCTGGAGAAGCAGCTGGTCGTTTTTTATTTCTCTGTCTTCTCGTAAAATAATTATTTTTATATATTCGTTTTAATTCCTGTCTCTCTGTAAATACTTATATTTTATATATTTATGTTTAATGTTTTTCTGTTTGAGAATTCTAATATTATTTCAAATAAATTTTTATGACTAATGTCTCAGTTCTACTACACAGCAAATGTTGGCACACGACTTGACACATATAGAATTTATTTCATATTATACTAATGATAATATAATAAGTTTAATAAACTCCTTGCTATCTAAAATATAACAGGACACCGGAGTAAATTCTGGAGCATCTCACACTTCTGATAATCAGCTGTCTGCTTGACGTTTATTCAGCTGTGTAAAAACTATAACTTTAATCTCAGACAAACTGATTTACTCAGGAAATAAAATACTAAAAAAAAGCCAAACAATAACATTTTAAGTTATCTAAGTGACTCATATATATTTAACCTGAGTAGCGAAAGACGGCGGTGGGTTTGAAAACGATTTGCGGGGAGTCCGGTGTTCTCACTGCGCTAGTGAGCCTAGCCCCCGGCTCGCTAACAGCTAGTGGGTAACAGACATCTCCGAAAACGTCGGAGCGCTTTTGAAAATATGTGGTGTCCTGATAAACTGAGCAGATATTTGAGGTTTACACAGCTACATTCTCGCCTGAAAATATGTTAAATGTTTATTTTGTGACCCAGAAAGAATAATAAGAGTAACATTAAAACTAACTACTGGTGGTGGTCAGAGGGCCCAGTGGCGCCAGTGTCCGGCAGCCTCGCCTCTGTCAGTGCGCCCCAGGGTGGCTGTGGCTACAATGTAGCTTGCCATCACCTGTGTGTGAATGGGTGGATGACTGGATATGTAAAGCGCTTTGGGGTCCTTAGGGACTAGTAAGGCGCTATATAAATACAGGCCATAACTAGCTGCCGCCATTGTTGGAAACTGCGCTGGGCCGCGCTATGAATTCTGGGACACAGCTGCTGCTTCTTCTTCTTCTTCTTCGGGGTTTAA